CAAACAAACAAACAAAAGCTTTTGCTTTTAGGGGGGGGGGAGAGTGTGCATGTGTGTGTGTGTTAATAAAAGATTATAGACCTCAGAAGCAGGGAAGCTTTTAAATTAAATACCCCATTTTAAAAACTTCGATAAACTGGATCAGATCCAGAAAAGGGCTACCAAGTTGGAGAAAGGACTGGAAACCAAGTCCTGTGACGAACAGTTAAGAGACTGAGGTATGTTTAGCTTGCAGAAGAGAAGGTTGAGAGGGGTCACGATAGCTCTCTTCAAATATCTGAAGGGCTGTCACATTGCAGAGGGTTTGGACTTATTCTCACTTGCTCCAGAGGGGAAGCTTAGAACAAATGGGGTGAGGCTTCAAGGATGCCGCATTGCAGAGGGTTTGGACTTATTCTCACTTGCTCCAGAGGGGAAGCTTAGAACAAATGGGGTGAGGCTTCAAGGATGCCGCATTGCAGAGGGTTTGGACTTATTCTCACTTGCTCCAGAGGGGAAGCTTAGAACAAATGGGGTGAGGCTTCAAGGATGCCGATGCACATTAGACATTAGGAAGAACTTCTTGTCAGTAAGAGCTGTCAGTCAGCCTCTTGGTTAATATGATAATACTTCACTGCAAACCAGTGAAGTTACATGTCCTCTCCTCAGACTTTTTTTCCAAGTCTTGTCCTCCCCCCTCCCCCCCATTTGGGTGAGGATGATGGGCATCATTTCCATCATGCTGCTTTGTCCTTCCGGGAGAGCAGGAGCTGCAGCTGCACTGGCCTGCTGGCTGGCTGGCTGGAGGAAACACCCGGTTGGGGTCTCCCTTCAGCTGTGCCTGCCTGTCCTTCCTGCCTGGGAAGGGGCAGCCTGTGCGGCAGCTCCTGAAGGACCCTTCTAGCCCTTGGTCAGCCAATGGATCTCTTGAAATGAGGGCTTGCTTGCCAATATTGTTACTCTGTGTGCTTCCACTTGAGTCTTCTTACCCAGGGCTACCAGATGTGGGCTGCAAAAGTCGGGACAGCCTTTAGATGGCAGAAAATGGCTTCTGTATCTCTTCATTGCTCTTTAGACATCTGGAGTTTTGCAGCCAGAACTGGTAGCCCTGTTTTTAGAAGCAAGTGCAATCAGCAGACTTTGGTCATGCTTTGTTTGAGTCACGATCTGCTTCCTCTTTGCTTCCATTCTGGTGTGATCAGAGGGGGATGAGCCAGGTTGCCCAGTTGGCCCATCAAGGGTGGAGCCATCTGGGTTTGCCCATTAAGTCTGCTGGCAGAAAGCGCCAAAGGGGAGCAACTGAGTAGCAAGACAGTGCACTTTTGGGATAAGTCTGAATAGTTTAGTAGTCCATGGAAATGCTCCCACTAAATACTTAAAAAAAAAATTGTAGTGTAAGATATGCTACTTATTTCCTCCACTCAGGCAGAAAACCATGATTTCAGATCTACCTATTTCTCAACTAGTAAACAGCATTCAAATCAATAGGAGATTTCCATTCTTGCTGCACTAACTTCGTGCATTGATTCTAGTTGTACAGAAGGATCCCTCCCAGCTAATCCCATTTGGTTTGAGTTAGTGATCTTTAATTTAAGACACTGAGCTCATCCCTGCTAAACTTGCTGAAAATCAGCTAATTAAAACTAAGAAACAAGATTAGGTAACTAAAAATATTTTAGATAAAAGTGGGTTATGGTAAGGCGTGAGCTGAGAACGTTTTATTTGGATGAGAGCTATTTTGGTTTAACAATCCCTTCAAAGGAATTGGGAGCCTGGGAATGGGAACTGCAGGACAACATAATTTCTCCAGTTCCAGGGCTCATGTCTTCAGGAAGGGCAAATTGATGCCTGTATAAACCATAATAGAGAACTTGTAATGGCACAATTCTTCTTAACATTCACATCTTAAATAGTTGGGTCTCTGTTCATAAACTCCCAACCATCCTCCTCATTTAAACAGGCTCTCATAACTGGAACTGTTTTGAATCCATACCCACTGCACAAATTTTTATTTGGGGGGGGGGGGATACAGTTTGAAAATGTAAGTTATACCAAAGTTGTACTGTTACCTGAGTGGATATCTACATGCAAGTTGAGGGAATCGGCTAGCCTGTTCTAGAGCCTCAGACCCTGACCCATGGCCCTCTGCCACCACTGTGAAAAACATGCCATAGAGATGCTCTGTTGCCCAGAGATTCTTCCTCCTTTTGTGTTCTAGAAATGATGAGGAAGCTTATGGCCCTGTGAATACGATGGCTCAAAAACTTGGGAAAGTGTTTTCTAGATATGTACCCTGGCTTTTGTTAGCCAGAGCAGGAACTCCAGGGAGCCCCACATGGAAGAAAGCCACCCCAGGAAACCTGCTTTGGGTGCGTTGGGCCTCCTTCAGAGCATGTCCTTCATGGGGAGAGCTGACTGGCAGGGATGCCCCTTCTATCACTGCACTGCCAGCCTAGTGCTTGGTCTTCTCTTCTCTTGCAGGAGTCCTGTTGCTGGTCCCTGAAGATGGCTGACGGACCAAAGTAGGTCTGGCTTGTCTTCCCCGTGGTCCGTGAGAAGGGTGACCCTCGTTTCACTGCCTCACATCAACTCAGCGAAAGGCACCCCTAGAAGCCTTCTCTGGAGGGGCAGCAGGGCTCTTCTTCAGCCTGACTCTCCTGCACTTAGGCCCATTTTCCTTGCATTTGAAGCATCTGGAGCCTCCAGAGGTCAACCTAGATTTGTTGCTAAGCTAATACCCTTCAGTTTTCTCTGCTCACATTCAGTAGAGCAGGAAGATAATGCCCCTTTTTCTCTATCAGCTCAACTTCATTTCATAATTTTGTGTGGTTTCAATTACAGCACAAATTTCAGTGATATTGTTAAACTCTTACAATTTTAGCAACAATTAGAACGGTGGAGTCCTTGCTGCTCTCTGAGCTTGGTAGTTTGCTTGCAGACATTTCATTACCTGACTAGGTAACATCACCAGTGCTAGTGAGTGTGGGGTTTGCTCCCTGTTTATATACAGCAGCCTGCCCTGCCAGTGTTGGTGGGGGTGTGGATTTCTCCTTGGTGGTTCCTTGATTAGGCTGTTGTTTACTGCTTGATTGTTTGTCTGGTGTTAATCCCTGCTTATCTGGGTGTTGGTTTTTGGAGAAGATGTGTTCTGTCCTTTTTGTTTCCTTCTTAGCTTTTTTTATTGTCTCTTTTGAATGGTGTGTAAATGTGTTTCTGTGTGTCTGTTGATGGCTGCCTTGTCTGAATACCAAGCTTCCAGGAATTCCCTTGCAGTTTTGGATTTAACTTGGATGCCCACAGTTTCCCAGTTGAAACTATGATTGAGTCTGTCCGTGTGTTGTGAGATTTAGGAGTTTTCATTGTGTCTTCTGAGTGCTAGTTGGTATTCATGGATGCGTTCTGCCTGTCTGTCCTACATAGTGGCTGTTACAGTCCTTACATTGTATGTCTACCATTCCCTGTATGTCTGGCATTCAGACAAATCAGCCATCAGTAGACACATAGAGATAAACCACATTTACACACATTTACATAAGTAGAATGGATTGTTCTGTCAAAGAAAAAAAAAAGGCTTGCTGCAGTAATTGTTTGCCTCTTAGATACAAGAATTTGCTGTTAGATCTTTGGCTTACTTTGATGTGTGTATTTAAGTTTGCTGCCCATGGTATCTATATCATCCCTACTATTTATGTTCTCTGTAGCTATTCAGTAATGCATCATGGGCAATTTTTTAACACATGCATTTTAAATTTTTAACTATTTTGTACTTTGTCTTGTATTTAATGTTAGCCACCTTGAGTATATAACATATTGCCCAAAGTTTGAGCCTCTAAAATTTCTCCCCCCACACCCCATTTGTTCCTCTCTTCCTCTCCCTCTCTTTTGGCAGAGTGTATAAGAAGACTTCTCCCAATGGGAAGGTAAGATTACCGTGTGCTATAAACACGTAATAACAATGATGCTAACTTGCCAGAAACTCTGCCTGATTATTTCTGGCTAATCTGCATCCTGTAGCAGTTCAGTCCATGTCTTTAGGTTGATACAATCACGGGGGGAGGGGGGGATCCGGTGTGCCAATCTCATATTGGCACTGTTGGACAGAAGTTTATGTTCCAGGGAAATGCTTCAGTTCAGGGGAACATACCCTGGACCTGAGTCTGAAGTTCAAGTGCCCAGTACACTGGACATCCCAGTTCAGATGGGTTGATTCTGACACATTCAGATGGTGGCATGAATTCACCTGGGACGGAGATTTCTGCATATACATTAATCTAAAAGCAAAGGTCGTGCCCTGTTTCCTGGATTGGATCAGCCAGCAAAGAAAAGCCCAAACTGATCTTTGTCCAAGCCATTAATCTTCTCAGCCAGGAGATCTTTCTCCAAGTGGAATTAGGATTAGAGTGGGCCCCTTAGCAGCTTTAATTCAGCCGAGTCCAGAATCATGCTGTTGTGGGAGGTTTCTGCGTTAGACAATGGCCGTGCCTGCCTGGCCTCTTTTTCTCTCTGTTTGAACTGGCCTGGCCCTGAGAGAGGCGCCCAGGCATGCAGCACCACCATTTCCCCCTGCAAATGGCTCTCAGTCCCAGGTCATGGCAGCCAAACCTGGCTTTTCTTTCAACACTTAAATTTCAAATTACATAAATAGGTTTGTCAAATCTTGGTCTTCATGGCATATTTTCATGTCGTGATTTTTCAGTCTTTTTCCAAGTTCTAAAGTTATCCACCTCCCTTAATCTGTTCTCCTAGAAATTAGTTCTCTGGTCATCCTGGCTTTCCTTCTCTATTGTTATTCCAGTTTTTCTGAATTATTCTTAAAGTATGATGTTCAGAAATGGTAAGGTCTGACCAATGCAGAAAAAAGTAGAACAACTACAAGTAGTCCCCAGGTTAAGAATGCCTGGTTTACGGACGACCCATAGTTAAGAACGGAGCCTATTGTTGCAAAATTCGATTTTGAGTTAAATTCAAGTTCATTACACAATACTACTTATGCAGTATTATACAATAATACTGTTCTGGCTTACACACAAATTCGACTTAAGGACACACCTTGGGAACAGAACTCGTTCTTAAACTGGGGACTACCTGTACTTCCTACTATTTGGAAACTATACTTATGATACCATTTGCTGATTCATATTTCAACTTGTTCCATGCATATTATTACCAAATAAAGAATCTCTTACTACATACTACATATTTGATTTATTTTGCCTAAAAGCAAAACTTTTCATTTGTGTCTTAAATTGTATTCTGTTCTCTGCAGCCCATTATCTAATCTGTCAAGCATCATTTTGAATTTATTTCCCACATAATTTTGCATTATCTGCAAATTAGAACCACTTGCTAATTTGAGATACCATCAATGAGGACTTTTTGAGTCCTTAATAGTGTTATGTGGAAGTGCCAACCTTTGTAATGATTCTATTGGCTATTTAATGTCAAGATTATACAATGAAGGACATTTGTAAGCAAATGTGTAGAACTGGCCATTTTTTTCTCTCCTGCCTATCCAGTTATCCATCTACCTGGGAAAGCGAGACTTTGTGGATCATGTGGAATCTGTGGAACCTGTGGGTATGTGATTTGCTTTAAATCTTGTTAGTGTCAGTTGTATTCTGCAAGTTCTACACCCTCTGGAAGATGGTGATGTTGAGGGCCAAGAGGATGCTGTAAGAAGATAATCTGAATTTGTACACATACTTAATGTACTTGTAGGAGGAGAGTTGTTTTAGTCTAGCACAACCAAAAATCAGAAGAATCTGCTAGCACATTTTCTGATTAACAAATTTTATTAAAAAGCCTCAGCTCACTTCATCAGATGCATGGAGTGGCTAAACTGATGTAGGATTTGAACTGGGATGAGGTGGGGGGTAAGGAAAGAGGGGAAAACAAGGGCATTATTAGTCATTCATTTAAGAGATCAATTACTGGCTTGGCTTGAGACAGAACATGTACTAGCAGATCAGCAGGCTGGATTTAGGGTAAGTTGTTTGCAAATAGACCAAGCCCTGATATTACAAGTTTTGGTTGAAAAATACACAGTCAAATGTAGATTTAGGTCTGCCTTTAGTTCAGTTTCCAGGAATAAGTTATGGTAGAAATTGAAGGATTCACCTGTTAATAGAGGCTTAGTTTTGTTGTTGCAAAACTTAATGGTAGCTGTACAGTAAAGTCAGATGCATTATGCAGGACCATTAGATTAGGGAAATTTTGACAGGAAAAGGAGTTAGGCAAGGTTGTATTTTGGCCTCTTTATTGTTCAACCTGACCCTGGCCTTCCTTAATTTGGCACATCAAACTTATTGCAACCCTACTTTACGTGAGTGGTGTTGTACAGCAAAACTATAGGATGGTTGGCATTGACTCTGGTTCACCTGAGATGGGCCTTGTGTTCTCTTATAGAGTTTTGTAAAAGATTAATCACAATAAGACCAATCCTTCACAAAGTTCACAGATGGAAACTGAATGTGCATGACTTATAACTGATCCAGTTATTCAATTATTTGGGCATAGCATTCCATGCTGCAGGAGACCAGAATGCACTTTGATTATATGATCCAAAAAGCATAGGGATCAACATTGGCCATTCAAGTTTTTTATAGGTCTAAGGGAGCATTATAGAGTCCAGTATTTTAAGTATTGTACGGTGCACAGACAGGACCACACAAAGATAACTCACTGATGGAGTCCTTACAATCTATGCCCATGAGAAATATTTTTCAGGTAATTGAATGGATTAATTAAAATAAAAAATGCACTATGGTTTAATATGCTAAATCAATCTTTTGTCTTATCAGATTGATTTCTTTTTTTTTTCAGTCAAGAGAAAGGCTCCATCATCCACTGGTTCAGGAACTGTGGCTGCTCCTAGGATGCTCCACTGGGATGCTCCACAGAGGCTAAAGCAGAGCTGAGACAGAGAATATGGAACATAGGGAGCCAGGAAGCCCATGCAAGGGGGCCAGGAAGGGCTGAGATAAACCCTTCAGTTTCCAACCAGCCAGAGTTCTTAGTTCAGCTGAAATATCAAAGATAGCAGAGCATGACTTGGGTTGAAAGCTTCATAGAACAGAACCATTCCGGCTGCTTTTCAAAATTCTATGAGGGGGGTGCTGAATGGATCTCTGCAGGTGGGGAGTTCCAAACTGAGGTGTGGGAAGGTTGCAACAGAAAAAGTACTTTGTCTGGTCTTAATTCCCCTGAGCTCTGATGGTGATGGGCCTTCTTGAGAGGTCCTTGGCAGATGGGCAGTTTCAGCCTTCACAAGGATTATGCTATAGGCATGGCTTTATAGATCTACAACACTTTGAATTCAGAGACAGAGAATTGTAGACTTAGCACCATAGGTTTCATCAGCCCAGCTCTCTGCAATGTGCAGGAAAACCAATCAAACCATCTTTGAGAGATGGCAGTTCAACTGCTTCTTCAAAACCTCCAGAGAAGGAGGACCTACAACCTTCATAGGTAGACTGTTCCATTATTGTACAGATCTTACCATCAGGAACTTTTTCCTTAAGTTTAAACAAAAAGTAGATAGTTGCACGTTATATCTATTATTTCTGGTCTTACTTTCAATAGCAATGGAAAATAGTTTCCATTTCTCCTATAGCACCCTTTTATGTACTTGAATGTCGATATTGTATCTCCCCTCAGTCTTCTTTTCTCCAGACTGAACATCCCAAGTTCCTTCAGCCTGTCATCATAGGACATGTCCATAAGTCCCTATATCACCTTCATCATCCTCTTCTAAACATGTTATAGTTTGTTGATATCCTTCTGTAAATGTGTTATGCAGAGTGCAGCTATAAACATAATTCATGCCAAAAATACACACCAGCATTAGAGAGATTGAAAGAATGCAATGTCCTTATCTTGTTCTCCAAAGAAATCCAGCCAAAAAAATATAAAATATCTTTCTGTTTATTGAGAAAAGTAAAAACTACATAAAATACAAGTTTC